CAAGAGATGGCAGACAAAAGAGGAGGAGACATGCACAGAACACACAATAATATTATTTTGGAGTGCAAAACCTCTTTAGTAGACAACTATGGAGCTCCACACATAACAAACAGATAATGAAAAGTAACATTAATCCTATTAAATTTAATATATGCGTTCTGAGACTTCTACAATTTTCAAAACATTAATTTCTAGCAATTATGTCATGGTTGGGGCTTTAAAGGTTTACACGTGCCACCACAATGCTGAGCATGTATTACAAATATTGGTTGGAAATGTTAGACATTCCGTATCACGTCTGCAATGGCGTTCCTTTTCCTGATGAACGCCACTGTATTCACAGTCTTTCAAATGCCAAATGCTGTCAGTTACAGAAACACGTTCTACTGGATTTCCACTGTATCACTGCATGATCTGAGTCTTTTATTAGCCGGGTAACGTCCAGATTGCACATATACTTTCTAATTCAATTAGAAATCTGTTGAGTTTTCTAATTGCATCTCGAAGAGTTTATAACAGCTGATCAACAAATACAAAGATTTCTAAGATATTATACATGAATATCAGAGGTTGTTTATATTGCCTCTCTAGCTATTTAAACAAACACTTCAGATGAAATGAGAAATAATTTTAAGTCTCAATGACCTGTTTGCCACCTACTGTATTTGGTCTTGGTGAGGACAGAGCAGTTCTCTGAGCAGTGCTCCAGAACCATGCGAGGTCCAAACAGGTTTGGGCAGCACTCTAACTTAATGCAGGTTTTCCTGCAGAAGTCTGCCACACGGTCTGCAGTACGGACTATTTCCACGGTGGCCCGGTAGCTCTTTCCCTTGTACCTGATGTTTAAAGAAAAGCAATGGTAAATGTGACTAATTTTCCACAAAGTGCTGGGCTGGAAAAAAATTTCAGTTACTCAAAACCAAAACCGCTTCGATATGTAATCTAACAAGATCTCGCCTTACAGAAACCTAGATGCTATCATCTTATTCACCACTTTACTGAAGTATTAGTGGGTTGCCCCTGATTCCGGTGTGAATACACCCATGTCTGTACCTATTTGTGCTTTAAGTACACTTTTAAACCAGCTTGTTCTGTCAAATATGCCAGCTGGAAGCACTTGTTCTATTCCTACAGGTTCTTCTGAAGAACTGAGTATTTTGAGTGAAGAATTAAATGACGCGTCTCCTCACTTTGCTTTGAGTGTCTCTCCATGGCCCTGCCAGCGGCTCTCCTGGTCCAGCTGCAGCTCTCTCAGCACACGGCT